CCACTCACCGCCCTCACGCCCCTCACCGCCCTCACGGCCATGCCCCTCACTCACTCATGGCCCTCACGACACTCACCGCCCTCACGCCAATCACCGCCCTCACGGCCCTCACGCACTCATAGCCCTCACGCCTCACCGCCCATGCGGCCCTCACACCCCTCACGCACTGATGGCCCTCACGCCACTCAGGCTATCTTGAGATGGGGATATTTTGCCCAGAAACTTTGCGTCGCAACACCAGCAACACGGTCCGCCCGCGACATAAAATTTTATTTTTCTTGTGCTATTTAGACAGAATTATGCGTTATAAACGTGTTTTTATGCATTTAAACCTCGTTAAGAATACTAATGCACCTTTCTGAAACAGTTTATTTCCAAAAAAACTATCGATTTCAAACCAGAACCAGGTCATTCGGTGTCATCATCACCGGCACGAGGTATCACGTGAAATTTTGCGTCCCTGATCGGATGCAGCCGCTTCAAACGTATTCGAATTGCTCCGAGTTGCTTGCTTATTTCGAGCCGGACCCGATTTCAGCAATTCGTGTTGACCTAGGGAAAGCTAGAGAACAACCCGCCATTAACACCAAAATTGCTGAGAAAGATGCTCGATCTGAAGGGGGCCTCACGCACTCACCACCCTCACGCCTCTCATGGCCCTCACACCCCTCACGCACTCACCGCCCTCACACCACTCACGCACTCATGGCCCTCACGCCACTCACCGCCCTCATGACCCTCACCGCCCTCACGGCCCTCACCACCCTCACCGCCCTCACGGCCCTCACTCACCCTCACACTCATGAATTTTCCTGGTTCAAAAACTCACTCACCCTCACCTCACCTGTGAAGATGAGGGTGAGTGAGGGTGAGTGAGGGCCCTCATGAGTGAGGTTTGCCGAGCAGTGGTCCCAAGGGATTCCGGCCGACGGTTAGGGGAGACGAGGGAGATGGACTTCTCTCCTGACGTTCATTGAGTGGTGTTTCAATATAAGTTGTTTCTCTCTCTTCCGCATGAAAACTGTCGGTCGAGAATTGGCAGGTTTCAGGCGCGCTCACCCTTTTCCACGGGCACGTAGGGTTCAAACTGATGCGTACCAAATATCTTCAAAGTCGCGGGTCGTCTAAGGCACACATTCAATATTAAAAATAGAAAATAATATGAGCTCAATTTTTTGTGGCTTCCAAGAAACTGCAAATACGTTAATCAAAAAAAAAAAAAAAAAAAGCAAACAAAAAAAACGAAAGAAGCTTTCAAATTTTTAAACCGCGAAATTAGAGCGCAGCTCTTGAGGAGGACAAGAGGAGGATATGTCCCTCCTCCTCCTGCGTACACTCCCATCCTCTTCCTCCATACCATACACTCCCCTCCTTCCTGTTTCCCCGCTAAATTTAGCTGAAAAAATGACACCACGTGACCTCAACACCAATTCAGTTTCCCCACTATATTTAGCGGGAAAAATGACGTCCCATGACTCGGCGTCACTTCACCTGCAAGCAAATTCAGTTTTCCCGCTAGATTTGGCGGGAAAATTGGCGTCACGTGACCTCAACACCAATTTATTTCCCCGCTAGATCTAGCTGGAAAATTGATGTCACGTGACTACAACCCCAATTCGATTTCTCGAATTTAGCAAGAAATTTTACCGCCAAATCTAGCGGAAAAGCTGAGTTTCTCCGCTAAGTCTATAGACCGTTACAGCTCAAGAAGGTAGGGCGAGGGAAAGGAAGGCCGGGGAGGAGAAAGCAGACGGAACGCTAGAGGAGAGGGAAAAACTTCCTCCTCTCTCCAGCGTTCCGTCTGCTTCCTTTCTCTCGCTTTACCTTCTTGAGTTGCAACGGTGTTTTGAGGCGCGGCTACGCCGACGCCTCAAAACACCGAAAAAAACGCCTAAAAACTGCGCCCTCAAAGAAAAAAAAAAAGTTGCACAGATCACAGGAAGTAGGTGTACACGTCACACTCAATATGGCGACGTACCGCGGCCCGCGGGCTGGACGACGCGATGGCAGAGCACGACGGACCAACCAACGTTGCGACGGACGTGGAACCATGACTTCGGAACTGCGGTTCGTGCTACCGGCCAATCGATCTTCAGCACAGAACAGCGAGGGGAAGGGATATAAGTCCGAAACTATCGCACGACAAACGGTTCAAGCAACGTCATCGTTGTCGTCGTCTGCTTTACACGCCCAAAAAACAAAATAACGAAAAAAAAAAAAGAATCCGGGCACCTAAGCACTGTTTACGAGTTGTGAAATGTGTAATTGAACACCGATGAGCACTCCTTGGCGACGAGAGGAGCCATAGTGCCGGTGAGAGTGTGGGGCGCGACAAGACTGAAAGCAGAGCGTAGAACATGTGATAGTGTCACCCCCCCCCCTCTCTGCGGGTCTCCAAGGCGGCCGCGCCAACGTCACCCTCTCCCTCTTACAGACGGCTCCGCTCCATGAAACCAGTTAATGCTTTCGCATTAAAACTGGGTAGAGAGCGACAGCCATGCGACTTCCAGCAATTCTCTCCTCCGAGCCTCCGCGCACATGTTTCGGTTTCGAACAGTTGCGTTTGATTGGGTAGTCTTCCGACACCATGCTAAATAACCTAAAAAAAAAAAAAAAAGAAATAAAAAAACGGGGGTGCAGTGTTCCTTAACGTTGAGGCTTGGGCGGCTACTGAAAGTTCGGTCGGACGACTAACCGATTTGCAACAAATCTTTCGTAGTTTACATTTGGCCCGCGAAGAGAGACTATGGTTAATGAATCTTCTTGGTAGGCTGCCATGAGTCATTTTATAGGAACATAAATAGCTACATATACCTTAAAGATTGTAGCTGTATTTCGATCTATGGATTAAACCCCCATATGCAGAAATGCATTACCACGCAACTGTGCCAGGTGACTCTCACGAAATCCCAAGTTAGTCAGCCCAAAACGTGAAGTGACCACGAAGCCCGACACTGAATGGCTAACGGGGCAGGCCATGTGGCTAGAGGCGGGTGAGGAGGAAGTGTTGACGTGATTGAGCGAGGGTGCACTGAAGGAAGAGCGATTAGTGGTATCGCATCATTCCAGGTAAGTGGGTATGGTATGTGTTAAATTAACTCACGAAGAGCGCCTTGAACGTAGGCATTTAGCTGAGTGGAATCTCAGTGGTGAGCTGAGTGGAACTGAATGAAATCTCAGTTAGACACCAGAGTTTGAGCACCAGAGACTAACCCTACACTACACAAACTAACACCAACGTGCTTGGCTATAAAGTGTAACCACTGACCGATTAAGCAAGGGCATTTCATGTATGCAAGACAAATGCCAGGTAGTTTGCCAAACATTTCTCATGAACATTCAGCAGAGGACCTAGCACTAATTTTTCAGTGGCGAGTTAGCTGTTTCTTGAAACTCTTTTGCATGATCTGACAGAAAAAACATAGCAGCTGGAATATTGTTCAGCAAATTCAAGAAAACGAAGTAGGAACACAATGCACAGTCAACTTTAGCTGGATAACCCCAATGAAGAAATGCATACTAAAGACACAGGTTTATGTTGCTTTCCCAAATACTCTGTAATCCTAGAATATGGCCTATGGCATCTGTATGTTACAACTAAATTTTAGGAATATGAAGCTGTTCCAGAGACTTACCCAACCTTAGAGCCTGAACTCATAAACTCTGACACCAGCCCATCCAACCCTTTGTCCCGCAACTTTCGGAATTTCTTCCTCTATTAATAATTTAAAGGGATGCTGAACCGAAATCTGGATTTCCCAAAACACGCGGCAAAAGCGTGCAACAGGATGCTACAAACACCAAAACATCAGTCACACAGCGATATCTCGAACGGATGAGCGTATTTTTTAAAAAAAGAGGCGCATTTGGCAGGAATGTTGACGTCATGTTTCTCCGAGAAGGAGAGGGAACGGCCTCGCGCCTTCTCCGCCTCGCAGCCTTAAGGGAGTGAAGCGAAGAGAGGAGGAAACTAGGTATCATGACGTCACACGGCTTGTCGGCCTAGTTCAATCTCGACTTCTTTTTCCAAAAATACGTCCGTCCATTTGAGATATCGCCTTACTAGTAGTGTTGTAGGGATTGTAGCGTCCCGCCTACATCTCCAGTATTGGTTTTTTGAAATCCAAATTTCGGTTCACCATCCCTTTAAGAATCGAGGCAAGCAATCTTTTAAGCTACATCAAGGCAAAAGGCAGCTGTGTTACCGATCTTTGAAACAGCCTCTAAAGGCTTGAGAGCTTGACACTAAATGTGTCAATCCAAGGAGTTTTTGTGGATTAACATATCTAGTGGTAAGCACTGTGTGACATCAGAGATCCAGAAATTGCTTCATTATGAACTGGTAAAACCTAGCGTGTAGAAAGAATCTCTCCTGGTACTCTATGTTAGCTCGAAAAAGCAAACAACTCAGTTTGCTGCTGATCCCTGGGGCTATGTTTGTTTTCAAGAGACACTGACAAGGCATTTGGGAGTACCTAGATTTTTATGGAAGCACAACCCATAAGAGCCCAACAATTCAGAAAAGAATACTCGCAATTGAAGCTCGTAACTTGTTCTGCAAGAAAAATCAAATCTGCAGGCAATTACAGTTCTGCATAAAAAATAAATGGATCTGTTTGGGTATCTGTATCTCATAAAAAAAATAGCTTTCGATAGTATCAGTAAAGAAAATAAACTTGCACACAAAGGAATGGAAGACCTCTTTGCTGGTTGATCCATGTCTGTCGGTCTTCTATTCCTTAGTGTATTCCACTGCCAAGAATCAGTTTCCAGACATGTTGATTTCTAAAAGTTGCAAGTGTGCCCATGACAGTGGAAGAAATAACCACAAAGCCACTTATTCTCATCAATATAAAAACTGGCTCGAAACTTCAGACTATATACATGTTTCCTACCTTCACTGCTGACGAATGTTTGTCGGCATTACGACTGAACAAACAGCCACCGACTTGCCCGTTTGAGCAGCTGCACTGTGCATAGAGACGCAGAACAAAACGGGCTGAAGTGTGAAGGGGCCCCAAGGGGGGATGATGAGTTTTCCGTTTAATGGGGTGTGGGTTCAGCTGTCGTGCATCTTGCAGAGGTAGCGCATGGGCTGCATGGTGATCTTGCCGTTGCCCATCTTGACCACCCCCTCGGGATGGTCGATGCTCAGCAGTTCCCCAGTCTCCTCCCGATCCTCGCCCAGTATCACTTTCACCTGCGTTTGGAAGCGTTTGGAAGCGTTCAAGCCTTGGAAAACGCTTACACAGATGCTATGTGACATAAGAATATACACTGCTCTTTTGCGAAAAAAAAGAAAAACATGTCAGATTTTTTCTTTAAATCTAGTTGTTTTTTTTAAATTTGCAGGCATTTTTAGTTTTGCCCTTCAGTATTTTGCCGAAATAACTCTTATTTATTTTCAAATATTGCTATGAAAGTAGAGTAAAGTGGGTCTGTAAATGTTTTTTTCTTGTAATTTTACAAGAAACTTTTACACATTTTGCGGTTTTATAGAAGCGACACCTCCACATGTGAGCAATTAATTTTTGTCATTTCATTTTCTGGTTGAAGTTTAACTGAGATATCCAAAAAGGGGTATAAATATGCTAAATACAGTTTAAGTATTTTTTTTAATATGCCTCAGACAGTTTGTGTGACAATTGATTTTTAAGATAAAATTTTCAGTGTCATTAAAAAAATATATGTTATCGTAAACTTTTTAATTATACCTTGATGGATTCTATAGGGAGTATTCACTGGCGGCCATATCCGTGTGCACTGCTGCTGAGCGCGTGCTGACGGCAAGCTTCCGCAGTCCTTTTGGAACGTGCATTTAGCACCATCAAGGTTGCTGGTCTTAGCAGGCTGTGAGCTCGTTCTGAGCATGCGCTCCAAACATCGCCCTCAAATATGGCGTCCAATGAATACCTCTTAAAGACCTTCAAGCTTACCGAGGTACCGTATTTACACGAATGTAGGTCGACCCTTTTTTTCAATTTTTGAAAATCTGAAGTGGGGGGGTCGACTTATAATCGAACCAAAGCATTCCACCACTGGCAAAAACAAAACAATCGCGATATCATGAACACCTCGGCCTGTTACCCGGCTGTACCACTAGCATTGCACTATTCTGTGTGCTCATTTTACAAGTTAATTATTTTTTTATTTGCATGAACGAGTATTACTGATAGCGATTCGCAAACACGCCCGACTCCCGGGGGGTGGCGGCACTTCTTGTAAGAGCCACTCCGGAGGCCGCTGGAACAGCCTCACGGCTCACTGGCTCACTCATTCTTTTTCGAGCAACTAGTGCCGTCTGGGGAGTTGTCTGCAAACTACAATCGAAGAGCAGCTTAACATGTCTCCGCCGGTCAAAACACATTAGCATCGTGCCGTTGTACCGGTTTTCAGTGCTTTTTATACTCCATACTACCAGTACTAAAAAACAAAGCGTCGTAATAGACTAAATACGCGCGAAGATAGATGCTGACAATGTTGCTGTCGCCATTTTCAGAGGGCACCGCGTCCCGGTGTCCTGCGAAAATGGCAACAGCGGGAGTGCAAGCATGCGCAGAAGCTTACTAAAAAAAGGTCCTTTCGCGCGACTCACGGCAGCACATCGTTTGATCGAGTGACGAGATCGTGCTGAAGCGCTAACTACGTTTTTTTTGTATTGACACGCATGATCCGGGCAGTTTAGGTTTTTGGTGCTCGTTTTTGGCCATTCTTCACTCAGAAGCAACCAACAACTGTGCTGTTCGACGCGAGTTCGACCCGTCGGAGCGAGTGATGCTCCAGTGGAGTCAGCAGTGGCACGGGATCTTAAACTGTAATGGCAAACAAAGAGGCTTCCGTAGGCCAAAATCTGGTTCCGGAGTTGAAAATCAGGCTTGCAACGTATGCCGCAAAAGTGTGCAATTGGTCCCTACTCCTGACGTCCAACGCGATCACCGAGCATGAGCGAAGGATGCGGTTGATCCTGTCACTTGCAAAGTGCGACATTTAGTTGGACGCCGCCGACGTGCTTCGAGTAAGTGGCAGTGATGATGACAGGACTGACATCCCCAGTGCGGACGAGTCGTAGTCTAGTCGCGGACGGAGTGAGAACGACTGTGAGCAGCCTCAGCTGTCCCGCCTCCTGCGTGAACTTCCCAGTTTCATTAACGCCTGGGCATCTCATGCACCTCGCACGTGCATGCGCAGCCAAAGCACGCCAGAAGGCATCCATCGCGTGTTGGAGGCTTGGCTTTCGAAACAGATACTTTGCTGTTCTCACGTATCGCAGTAAAATGCGCATCTACACATTTTTTTTTTTGCTGATGTGCAATGTGGGGGGGTCGATTTACAATCGAGTCAACTTACAATCGTGTAAATACGGTATGCATGTTTATTTTCTGATTCAAATAGCTGAATTTGTCTTAACCCCACACATAATCTTTGCAGACGAAATGTTTAAAAGCATCCAAACTAACTAAGCTATTTCGAAACTGAGTACTGTGGCCCAATGTTTTAATAACATCAAGCGAGTATCAACCGCCGGGACGGCCAGTGCCGTGCCGCGGAGGCTTGCAGCGATAAAGGAGAGATTAAGCGCACATACACAAAGCCCTTTCTGGTGGGAGCGTCGTCTGCTAGGCTATTCCGTTCAATGCACACAGCCCCTGCTCCGTAGCAAAGGAGGGCAGGACGCTTGCAATGTCGAAGTGTATCGCCGATAAGCACCTCCTCTTGGAATGCGTTCACAATCCTACTAACGTTAGCCTGTGTAACCCCGACTGCTGTTGCTATATCCCTTTGCGTCATGCCGCCCACCAACATTCTCACAACACGTTCCCGTGTTTCTATAAGCAGTCAAAGAGGCATAAAAATGCACGCACGCCCGCTGGTCAAAGAAAAGTGTGACTACCCAGCTACATAGGCTAGATGACGACAGCAACAACGCAGTTGATAATACAAAACCCCAAGCGGAAACCCTGTCTATACTCCGTTTCACTTTGTGTTGCCCAGTCCATTGCTAAAAGTGTGTCACGTGGCCTTCCCATTGGGTACAACTGCACGTGGAAGCACAATGTCAGATGGCAGGGTGAAAGCACTGGATTGGTCTAAGTTGCCCGTAGCATTGGCTGCGGTATATAGTTTAATGCATCGTTGCATTCAGTCTGTCGCGTCACCATATCTTTCATTTTGTTGGTGCTCACAAAATAAACGCAAAAAACAAAACAAAAAAAAACTAAATTAAACTTGTGATGATGCGCTGTTTATGCCACGCCTGAGCAGTATCATGCAAGCAAGCGTTCAGATCTTTGCTTAAAGGCGGTTGGTTATGCCAGCAGATAATAAACAGGGGCTGTGTGTGGTCAATGGAATAGCCTAGCAGACGACGCTCGCACCGAAAAGAGCTTTGCGCGCACGCACCTAGTAATCTCTCCTGTGTTGCTGCATGCCTCCGTGGCACAGTGCTGGCCGTCCCAGCAATCGACGCTCGCTTGATATTATTAAAAACTTGGGCCACTGTACACATATTTGTAAGCAGAATGTAAAGACAAATGTGTTAGAGAAATTTCTTCCCAATTGGATCACTCTTAAAGAAAAAAAAAAAAAAAAAACACCTCTAAAAGCAGTGTTAGCAAAAAAACAGAGACTCGACATTGGCAGCTATATTCTGTTTCACCTTGCAGCAAATGGGAGGATGCTATGAGCGTCTAAGCCAATCTAACCATGTGCGAGTGTCACATGAACTTTGGGAGGGGCACAGCAATGCGCTAGACAGAGTCACGTGATACGTTCACAGCAATGGATCGCAAGGGATGGCTCGTGGCATCCACCGTGATCCTTTCCAAAGCAAAACAGAATTCAATCTTGTCCTTGTCTTTCTATCGCCCATTACACTGATGGTGACAAGCTCAATTTTCGCCAACATGCTCGAAATTTAGAAAAAAAAGAAAACAGAAATAGTTCTAATTTAACTTGATGAACGAATATTTGTACGCCAAGTTCTTCGGACTCCTGAGCTCCAAAGAACTGTAAGTGAACCCCGCACACCTGGTGCACTGACCCAAGAGTAAAAAGTAATGAAATTAGTTTGTTCAGAAGTGAGACCTAAAACAATGCTAAGGGCTTTCTGCCTCTGAACCATAAATGCCTGTCAAATACAGTATTTACATGATTGTAAGTTGACCCCCCACATTGCACATAAGCAAAAAAAAAAAAAAAAAAAAAAATCTTTAGGGGCACATTCTACGGCGAACACGTGAAAACAACAGGGCGTCTTTTTCGAAAGCCTAGCCTCCAGCAGGCGCTCGATGCCTTCCGGCATGCTTTGGCTGCGCACGCACGGACGAAGAACACGGGATGCCCAGGCGTTATCGAAACTAGGAAGCTCACGCTGAAGGCGGGACAACTGAAGCTGCTCCCTGTCGTTCTCACTCTTTCTGCGACTAGAGAGTACGAGATGTCCGCACTGGTGCTGTCCTTGCCGTCGTCATCACTGCTACATTCTGAAAGCACGTCGGTGGCGGCATCCAACGAAATGTCGCACTTCGCAAATGACGGCATCAATCGCGTCTTCCACGCTCCCTTGGTGATCGCGTCGCACGTCACCAGTAGGGACCAATAGCGCACTTCTGCAGCGCACCTTGCAAGCCTGACCTCTTGCTCGTATCACTCCAAAAAGAATACGGACCTATCCGGGTTTTGGCCCGCGGAAGCCTCTTAGTTTGCCGTCACAGTTGAGATCTAGCGCCGTTGCAGACGCCACTGGAGCACCACCTGCTTCGACGGGTGGAAGATGCATCAAGCGGCGCAATTGTTGGATGCTTCTGGATGAAGAATGGCCATAAACGAGCGCTAATAAGCTAAACTGCCCGGATCACGCACGTTGATACAGAGAAACATATTTAGCGCTCCAGCATAATCTCGACGCTAGATCAAACGACGTTCGACCGTGAATCGTGCAAAAAACTGCAAAAAGCAGTAGTGGGAAGTGAGCCTGTTCCAGAGGCCATTCTGGAGTGGCTCTTACATCAAGTGCTGCTACCCCCCGGGAGCCGGGCACACCGTGCGCTGTTCACCACGATACATTCAGGCTAATTTGCCCGAATCGCTATCAATAATATTCGTTCCTGCAAATTAAAACAAAGAACAAAAAAAGAAAACTTGTAAAATGAGAGCACAGAATGGCGCAATGCTACAGGTACAGCTGGCTGAACTTGTAACAAGTTTAGATGTTGTTCTTGATATCGCGGCTGTCTCGTTTTTGTCAGTGGTGGAATGCTTTCATCAACCCCCCCACTTTGGATTTCCAAAAATTAAAAAATCAGTCGACCTACATTCGTGTAAATACGGTATTGTTGCAACACCATTTGTTTCATAATAACACAAACAAATTCAACTGGTCATATGACTCAACGTGATCCAAATTAGCAAAGAGTTCCTCACCTTGTCTTTAGCAACCGGCACCACGGGTTCCAAGTGCTCGCTGAGAATGCTGACGACGCGGTCTTCTTTGAGGAGGAACACTGAGCACATTCCACCCTGCCACAAGAACACACAGTCTTCCTCAATTACAATGCAGAAATAGGCTTCTCTTAACAGTGGAATAAAGGCGCCAGGTTAAACAAGCTAAGTTTGTATGAGAAAAATTGTGCACAGGCATAAAATGCAGGTGGAAAAAATAAAGATGAAACATCCATCCAACAGATGACCAAACAAAAGAAAGGTTACCTGTTGACAGGCTGTCGTGGCGATCGGCTATTTCCGTGCTTTGTGGCAACAACAGCTTGTCGTCATGTGCACAAGTCACATGACAACCCTTCCACCTTGCTCCCTCATTCCCTTTTGGGTCCAATGGGAACAATCTCATCGTACCGAGGCAATTCAGCGTGATTTTCCATCTAGCAAGCATTCCCTCTTCACTGCACGGGTTGTACTTAAGGCTGGCAATCCTGACTGCTTACGACAGTGCGCTTTAAAACCTCCCAGATTCTCTTCCGATAGAACACACTTGAGCCATCTACCAACTAGCCTTAGCACACTTGGCATTTCCGTATATTGCCTTCTTCTTTTAGAGCGCAGCTCTTAGGGGCCCGTTTCCGGCTTGAGCGGCGTCGGCGTCGGCGTAACCGCGCGGTGCATCATGGGAAATGTCCCATAATGCACCGCGCGAGCCCCCCACCGGGGTCACGTGACTCCCCTGAGGTCACGTGACCCCCCGAGGTCACGTGACCCCCGCCAATGTCGCGTGGCCCCCCGATGACGTCATCGACACTGATGACGTCACCGGCATCCACATCGTCATCGTCATCATCACTGATGATGACGATGACGATGTGGATGCCGGTGACGTCATCAGTGATGATGACGATGACGATGTGGATGCCGGTGACGTCATCAGTGATGATGACGATGACGATGTGGATGCCGGTGACGTCATCAGTGATGATGACGATGACGATGTGGATGCCGGTGACGTCATCAGTGATGATGACGTCATCAATGATGATGACGTCATCAGTGACGATGACGATGTGGATGCCGGCAACGTCATCAGTGATGATGACGTCATCATTGATGATGACGTCATCATTGATGATGACGATGACGATGCGGATGCCGGTGACATCATCAGTGATGATGACGATGACGATGTGGATACCGGTGACGTCATCAGTGATGATGACGATGACGATGTGGATGCCGGTGACGTTACCGACATCCGCATCGTCATCATCACTGATGACGTCATCAGTGACGTCACTGATGTCGTCACCGGCATCCGCATCGTCATCATCACTGATGACGTCGTCAGCGACGTCAGTGATGACGTCACCGACATTCGCATCATCATCATCATCATCACTGGTGAAGTCATCAGTGACGTCACTAATGACGTCGTCGGTTACCGCATCGTCATCGTCACTGATGACATCATCAGTGACGTCAGTGATGACATCATCGGCATTGGGGGTCACGTGACCCCCCCCTGGTTAGTCTAACCCCCCCCCCCCCCCCCCAGCGCCCTTCCCTCCTCCTCCTCAAGAGCTGCGCTCTAATTTGGCATTACAGGGAGTTGTAAGCGGCTTTCACTTTTTCTGCACATCTTCTTTCTCTTTCGTTCAACAAACTTTTTACATGGTAATAAATGACCATTTCTAATAGATATTGTGTACATTTGATCTAATAAATACTTCAAAAACTTCAGCTCTAGTGACATCCAGTTTCGGAGTAAGAGACCATAAGAATTCGGACCTAAGCAACCTCAAGTGCCTGGCCTTCGCCAGCTCTCAGCCAGTCTAAAAATCATTTCACGGTCCCTTCAAAACTGAGGAAGAGAGGGCAAAGGAGGGGGAGAGATAGCAAAAGGGAGATGGGGCGGTAGCATACCGAGATGCCCCGTATGACACCCGTCTGTCCGATCATGCCGTCGTCCTCGTGCGTGTCCTTGATGCGCACCTCCAGGTCCATCGTCTGCCACTCCACTGACAGGGCCTCCATCCCTGGGCAGGAGAGAAACGCTCCCGTTGCCCGTCCATCACGTCCAGCCAGCGCCATACAGTGGTTCCCTCCCCAAAAATTCACAGGGATCTTTAAACCGTAAAAATAAACAATGCATCGCCAAAAGCTCATTCTCCGCCCAAATGTAGCGCTACAGGTCCTAATCAGACGCCAAGGTTTCAGAGCTAACCGCTATCTTATTAAAAAGTTAACCCCTTGCCTACTAATAACGAGTGTCACTCGTGCCGCCATTTACGGACCATAAAACCCGACCACGAGTGTGACTCGTGTTTCGGTTTCAGAGCTTGTTTTGCGAGCTCTGCGGCAGATGGCAGCACTACCCCTGTTGCTCCTGTTTACCTTGGGTTCTTTTCTTGTTTGCTTTGCCTTTTGATAGAGAGAGAGCGCTCCATTGACAAAAAATAAGCGCGCTATTGTAAGCAAGCGCGCCAAAAACATGTCTTCGGCGCGGAGGTCTGCTTTGGCGGACGAAGATATACAAAGACTTCTTTTTGAAAGTGATGATTGCGCCAGTATTTCTGACGACGAATCCTGCTGCCTTTCCGATTACTCGGAATCCGATGAGAGTTCAACGGACAGTGAGAAAAGTGTTGAAAACGATGCGAATCCTGGAAGCATTTCATCGACTTCGGCGTCTGCACGTCAGTGGAAGTGGGAGAAGAGGGACAACCAGCCTGCTCAGTTCACCTTTGTAGAAACCCCAGGTGTGTCAGCAAGGGTTCAACGCAGTCTTGGTGTGAAGACAAGCGCCTTATCGGCCTTTTCCGTGTTTGCAAGTCATGATTTTTGGGCGTCTGTCTCTGCTGAGACAAATCGCTACGCCGAACAAGAGATGGGCAATGAGGATCGTCCCAAGAAATGCTATGAGGAGCAATGGTTTGACACCACTCCGGATGAGATAAAGGCATACTTTGCCTTGTGCATCATTACACATCGCACCCACTGAGAAGAAGAAGAACCCGACGCGGGCGTGCAAAGTGTGCACAGCCAACAAGAAACTGAGTGAAACAACATGGGAATGTGGACAATGCAAGGTGGCTCTTCATGTTCCTGAATGTTTTCAGCGCTATCATACTGTGAAGAACTACTGAAGAAGAGGAGACGACCAGAAGTCCTGGTATAGAGCAAGAGACTACGCCTGAAAGCCAAGGAAACATTTTTCTTTATTTTGACGCAAATTGCTTGATTTAAATAAAGCTTTCTGTACGATCTTTAAAGAAAAAAAATGAGTAGGCAAGGGGTTAAGAGGGATTTTCTGAAAATGTAATGGGAGATTGAGCCCATTCTTGGTAACTGACACTGTTCAGCTTTATGCATTTAAAAGCACCGTCGACCGCCAGTTTCTCATTGAAAATTTCCTCCACAAATCTGCATTTTACGTGAGCTGTTCCAGTTTCGCCCCCGTGGTTACGTACAAGATACAGTTCAAAAGCTGCACACAGTCACATCACCCAGAAGCTGGCTCTAGGATGGCACCAGGTGTTGATGGGCAAAAGCTTCGGAGTTTCATTGCTGCGAATATTTGGCGATCCAAAGGACGGTGTCCACGACTCACCTGCCCCCGGGGTTTGGGGGTTGAAGGGGGACGGTGCCCCGGGAGTCATGGGGCTGTAGCCGCCATACGTGGACGGGGACGGCGTGCCCGCTTGGAATGCCACAGGGCTCGGCGTCGCCACGTATCCCTTCGGGCTCGGAGACGCTAAAAAGAGAACGACGTTTCTAGCATCCGTTAGACTGTCAAGACAAAGTCGGCCGTTTGTGCACCGTACGTGTACTACGGTCCAGCCCAGTTGAACAAAGTCAGCGGGAATCGGAAATAACTTTGCTATCCACTTCTTCGTTATATCTGGAACTCACAAAAGTAACACGCAAATAAAAGATAACATGGACCGTCACGGGCACACGTTTATTGTGCCTGAAGAAAACGGTCGAGGCTTCCCTGCACGTGCTCACAGCTAGATCAGCGCCACTTCTCGCCAACTGCGAGAAGCTTTGATCGAGAAAAGATCCTGTAAGCTGCGTACAAACCGTGTCGACAGCTGCGACGGTCACTGCGGAGGACGCCAGCGGTGGACGGCATTCTCTACGTTTATGCACACTTCGTCGAGAATGGCTGCACGTTTTTGTTTCAAAGAGATTGCTTTCGTCGTCACCGTCAAGGTCCCGGCGGAGCGGGGACTCGCCATCGTTAAAGGGACACTGACAGGGTATTTATGCTCATCAACGTTTTTATTTGAAATGACATATGAGAGCCCAACTACCTAGAAAACTATTCGCAACTCAGAATTTGTTCTCTTGCCTCCCAAAAATCGCCGATCGAGAACAGGCCCGTCTGAGTCGAGATCTCTCTCTTCGCGTGGTCATGTGCCGTTTTCAATGGTTTAGACACAATCACCAAATATAATCAAAGTCGTGGGGGTCATCGAAGGCACACAGACAATATTAAAAATAGAAAAGAAATATGATTCTCATATTTTGAGGCCTCTAAAAAGCTGCAAATACGTTGATTGTGGAAAAAAAAAGTATCACAGCCACGTGACTTCCGCCACCTCTCTCCTCCTCTATATTTCTTCTTCCTCTCCAGTTCAGTTTCGGTTTCGGTTTCGAGCACTTGCGTTTTTTTACTTTATTAAAAATATATGTGACATTGCAGCAAGATATTGATTGGGTAGTCTTTCGCCTGGCAAAAAATAAAAAGCAAATTTTGGGGGGTGTCAGTGTCCGTTTAAGTGGCGCTGATTTGCTGAATTGGTGCTTGAGCGAAGCTAGACTTTCGTGCAGAGACCGACCACACCGACTAATGACGCCAACACGGAACACGAAACTAACAAAAAGTGCGCACGGCACCGAGTTCAGGTTCAAGTTTGTGTTTCGTCGGTATGAGAGCCTACATTTAAAAGAGGGGGCAACTGCTCTATTGGAGTCACGTGGTTTTTGGGTTGCGTTTGCAAAACGAGCTGACATTTCCAAGGGGTCAAAAGCATTCACCATCTGCGAACGTGTTTGACACTCCGCCCGGTTTCCTCGCCACGCTGGCCGCGCGACAACCAAATGCAGGCGCACCTGTGCCAATTTTCTCAGGAAGCATCTGCCATTAAATTACAAAGACCCTCAATGGTTGGGGCTGCTCCCTCCCTTAAATCTAAGATTTCTCCGTCGTCTCCGTCGCTCCGTCAGTATGTTGTTGCTAGCGCTCCGAACGCCGCTATCGGCGTGCTACGACGGTTTCTCTGCGTGCGATGCAGAATAGCCACTTCCCAGATAAGGAGCGGGGAGCAGACATTGCAGAGGCTGCCACTGGCGACCTTCACAGCACGTCTGCGGCCCGTTCTGGGTGGCTCCTCGGCCGCGGCTGCATACCGCGGCGGTCTGCAACTTGGCAAACTTTCTGAATGTGATTATTTTTTAAATTATCATAAAACTTTTCTTTGCTATACCCTTGGGAGCCGCAAAAAACAGCCATAAATACATTGAAAAAGTGAAAACGAGAATGGAAAATAGCAATCGCTTCGCTACAACTGCTATTTCATTATACCTAACTTCGTTATAAACGGGCACGACTGCACTGTTAAACTCACATTGTTGAACAGACTCCAAGTTCATCTCAATCCGAGAAATAATGCATTTGTTTCATTACGCAATGCCTACAGCTCAATCGTATATTTAGGTTTTAAACCTACAGTGAAATACCGGGGGAGCGCCCACCCCACTTTCACTGAAAACTGAGTTAATCTAGACACGGGGGCTTGTCAGGTCAAATAAGACACCTAATGTATAATCTGCAGAAGTCCCAAGTTTGGGAAATGTTTATAATGGGCACTTCCACAGTATTTTACGGTAAGCAGCAGACTTGCCCAAAAGTAATTGGGGCGACAACAATGCTGTGGTCGTAACTTTTACAACAAACCGAATGCACAATGACTAAAGTCTTAACACACAACTTGTGACACGCGATAAGGCGACGACTGTTTCGTACACGAAAGAGGGGTGCCAATGCAGAGGGGTGCGAACGTGCTTTGACTAGTCCGGTTCCGAAGTGGCAACAAATTATGTAACAGTCCTGGCAGTGGTCATAAAAGTGATGACGAAGAAGGCAAGCGGACAAAAGGGTTACTTTTGTCGTAATGTTTAGACTCGTGGCTGCGCCTCCTACGTTAGAGAAACCCTCATTCAACAACAAGCAGACGGACGAGTAGGGGTCAGAGACTCACGCTGATAGGCGGTGGGGGAGGGACTGGCCTGGTACGGGGAGAAGCCGTGGTCCGAGCCGTACATGCCAGGTGTCTGCGGGGTGTAGGGCCCCTGGGGGGTCTCGGGGGCCTGGTAGCCCGGGGTGGCCGGCTGGTACGAGGGGGATGCCTCCTCCAGCTGGTAGTCGTCCAGCTCGGGCCGGGCCGGGGTGTTGGCCGTCGTGGGGTCCCAGGCCCCGTGCACAGGGGTGCGGCTCCCGTCGTGCACGGGCGTCTGCCCGCCCCCGAAATGGGGTGTCCGGCTGCCCGCTGGGGTGTAGAAAAGATGGGCTCGTAAACTAATGCATCGGAAAAAGATTTCAGACGGCATGCGTCCACCATCTCGGAAAACCATAAGGCTCGTTCACACTCTTGCGACCTCTTAGAACTGGGTTCCTTAAAACCTCTCACAACGAGAGGACACACTGGCGCCATCTATAGGGTAGCAGTGTAAACTTGGTGGACCAGCATATTTTCTATTTCTCTCGTGCATTATCCTTTCTTTCTTGGCTCGAAAAACTTTTGTCAACGTTATAGGCGAGCCTTTCTTATAGGTATTACGCACATTGGACCTCGGAAATCCTGCAAAACCTTCGCTCTTGTGAAATGCAGTTCCAGGGTCACCGCATAGACGGCGGCAAAATGGCAGCGAGTTCCCTTGTCCTAAAATGTTTAAGAGGTTTCAAAAAGTCTTGTCTCTGTCGGTCGTACTCGGTTACAAGAGTGTGAATGGGCCTTTACTCATTGTAGCTCTTCTCACTTCGACCATTCTTGTAAATCAAAACAGCTTCATCGTCCTGTCTTTTATGCAGCCTCGCGCCACTCACCTTCGTAGAGGGGCGTCTGGGAACCGTACATGGGTGTCCGGGACCCGCTGCTGTACATGGGCGTCTGGCTGCCGCTCCCGTACATTGGCGTACGGTTGTAAGTCGACACTCCGCCGCCACCCCCTTTGCTGGCACTCCTGTTGGTGCAGAAATAGCAGCAGGGTTAGGCACAGCCTCTTCCAGCATCGTCACACACAACTGTCAAGCGCATTATCTTGTCTGCAGCAAACGAAAAGCTTCACCCACAACCACAAAATATATCATGACAAATTATTTTGAGTGTTTACAAATATCACCAAATGAAGGAATATTTTATTTGAATCTGAAATAAAAGGGGCCAGTTCATGGGATCTGACTGACCCAGGTTTTCCCTTCAAGTTCAAGTAAATAAGGCTTGTGACCATTCTGCGGGAGACATGGTTGTTTAACGGGCATATGCCAAGGAGAAATCACAGTTAAAAAATGTTGGATTCTCATTTGGTTACGCAGCAGGACGATAGCCTGCCTCAGTGTACAGAGCCTAGATTTGTCACAGCAGAGAGTAAATCAGGGATGGGAGCTATACTATTGCCAGTTAGGGGTCTTCAATATGCGTCACGCAGCAGCGATTATAATGTGCAAGTCGGCAAAGCGCCCTTCCAAATCACTATCGGTGGATGTGGGTATTAAACTTTATATATTTTAGTTGACTGCGTAAGCTTCCACGTCGTCCAACAGTCTCAATCCCTTAGCCATAGACCGTCTTGCTAGAACAGGCAAAAACAGCAATGTCTTTGCTCATACCATCTACTGTCCCGCAACACACCACACAACAATGTTGCCTAGTGTTACGTAAGCCCAGGAAACAGACATTGGCAGCGAATCCTAAGAATTTGGGGCAACTCACCCGACGACAGCAATGCGCGACCTGTCCACCGAGATGGTCTGGCACTTGGTGTGAAGCTCCACCCTGGCAGTAGACTCTGTGGCATCCTTCACAATTCCAATGTGGCCTGCACATAGCACAGAGGAAGTCGGTTCTTCCTTAGGGCCACCTCACGTAAAAACATGACACATTTTTGTGTTCTTCCACGTAAGCAGCAGCTCAGTGTCACTTTAACCACAGAATTCCTCGTGTTAAAGAATGGTTCTGAAGTCGGGTTGGAAATGCAATGCTCTTCACTCAATTGCAAACAGGGGCTAGACTTGTTTTAGTACAGTGTCAAAGCGTGCTACCTGTTTCCTGCCCTCTATGCATTGGTCAAACGAGACAACAATAAACGCTAAAATTTGCAAACATGTTTCTGGCACTCAGCTGCCACCTTCGTAGAAGTTTGTGGAGCGCAGGATCTTACTTGAGCGCAACAATAAACCAACACGAGATTCAAATAATTTACCCCATACATTGCCCCGCGTGGTCAAAACGACTTACTTGGAGCGCGTCGTTGCAGAAAGACGACTTATATTTAGAATCTCAGGTGGCTACATGAACCACCCTATGAGGGCACGTTGTAAGCAATAAGCTGTCACGCATGATTGGCTGGATTCACAAACTGTGGCCGCATGGGCGAGAGAGAAAAAGGGGCAGAGAGCAGGGCGCACGCACCCTTGTAGGGCCCCTGGGTGATCTTGATGGTCTCGCCGATGAGCTCGCTGTCCCTGCGTCCCCCTCGACCCCTGCCGCCGCCTCCTCCCCCTCCCCCCCCTGCCCCCTCCCCCTCCCGAGGGGTGCATGGGGCTGGAGATGCGGGGGGACTGGGGAGTGTAGCCGCCCATCACGGGACCCGTCACCTGCTGCTCCGGGGGAATACGTGGAGACGGAAGAACTGCAGGTCAGTTAAAGTGGTCACGCACTACCACACATGCAGGTACGATCACAAAAAGTTTTTTGAATGCAGAATGTGTTTTATGAGTTGTCTTCTATTGAAAAATTGTCGTGAACAAGCATCACAAACGAGTGTCATGACCGATCAACATGGACAAGCATCGTGAATGACTGACATACTGCGAGCATTACACAACATTAAGGTTATACACTATAAAGTTTATATATCAAGTTTGAGCCCCGGTGGGGCTTGAACCTGAATTGGTGCGGTGGCAGTCAGACACTACAGCCACTGAGCTGCGTAGCACAGCTGCCCTGGAATGATCGGACTCTCGGAAAAATGTGCCGACAAGAGCGGTGCGACGTCGTACCATGTTGCCTCATGGACTTCCTGCATCGCGCAAGAACCATAAAAAGTGACACTTGTGCGGCGTGCTTGTTCACTTGGTCTCGCGCTGGCTAACATATGTGGTGCACAGTGAAAAAAACTAGTACAAACCATGCTGCAGAGAGTGTGGTTTGTGCTAGTGTCCCATGTGCGGCGTGCAGGACATATTTTTCCTCCCTGGTCTTTGTCAGCATGATCAAGCAAATGAGTTCAAACGCGACAACGTTAAGGAGCCTGTGTTTCAGAAAATCCGGAGTCGGTGGGACCAGAAAATCCTCATTGGTCAATAGGGTCATGACGTCACAGCCACGTGTGACCTCACACGTGAGATGATGTGGCGTGATGTCGGAAACGTGATGTGTGACGTCACGTCACCTTCGCAGTGATTGAGTTTGATGAAAGTGCTCCAGAAGAGGGGGGACAACTGTCGTTCAAATATGCCATGGAACAAGAAATATATGAAGGAATTCGCAACAATCTCAACTACAATGAGTGAAAATGCCAGTGTGGTGTGTGTGAGCGTGTGTGTAGTGAGTGAGTGAGTGAGATACCTACTCAATGTGCGTGAACGTCGAAGGAAGAAGGAAACAAGAAACTTTGTAGTGTGTACAGAACAGAGAAGTAGTGTTGTAGAATGTGAAGAAGATCACGTGTCAGAAAAAAACAATGAGAAGAAAGTCATACTGTGGATAAATAAAGGAGTGTTGTGTCATGAGAACTAGGACGTTGTGCGACTCAAGAGAATGAGAAGCGAATGAGAAGGCAATGCGAATGGGCTCGATAACGCTATCGCATTCCTCTCTTAAGGGCGAAGCTTAAGGTTCCTCCAAGTTTTTTCACAGTGAACTAAACTTAAGTTCACATAAAATTTAAAACATTGAAAAGTTGCATAATGAGAACAAAACGTTGCAACCAGCACACAGAGAGCCCCTGCACAGATTTATTCCTTCCATCCTCGATGCAGGCAAGCCTACCTAGAATACAGACTTTCATTTCATTTCATTTCATTTATTATACCCTCAGGGCCCGAAGGCATTACAGAGGGGAGAGCAACAAGAAGGTTAATGCAAATAACATAATACATATTTAGACACACTCAGTAATAAAGTAATTAGTTATTGTACTTTTAAAGAGCTCAGAGTCCGTGATAATGGCGATCGACCGGGGAAGGTGGTTCCACTTCTGGGATGTGCGGGGAACGAAAGATGAATAAAACGTGGTTGTGATAGAGTTAGGAATGCCCACCTTATGTTGATGATCAAGACGGGAGGAAACATAGACAGGCCGAGCAATTAATTTGTCGCGCAGGAAAGAATTATGGTGATAAATTTTATGGAATAGGGAAAGACGAGAAATTTTACGACGTAGGGATAAAGGTGGTAATGAGAGAGTTGTTTTCATAGAGGTGACGCTAGCGGTGCAGTGATAGTTTGTGAGGATGAAACGAGCGGACCTGTTCTGAACGGCTTCCAATGTAGATACGAGAGTGACTAGTCCGGGATCCCAGACAGAAGCTGCATATTCTAACTTGGGACGAATTAAGACTTTGTAAAGAGTTAATTTCAGTGAGACAGGGGCTAATGAAAAATTTCGCTTGATGTAACCTAACATGCGGTTAGCGTTAGCTGAAATATACTGAATATGTGTTTTCCATGAAAGGTTAGAAGCTATATGTACGCCTAAATATTTGTACGAAGATACCGGTTCTAGATGAGCATTATCAAGAAAATAGTTAGGAGAGTCCTGAGACTGGCGAGACACACGCATGACCTTGCATTTGTTAGTGTTAAGCTTCATAGACCACGAGTCAGACCAACGGTAAATAGCATTAATGTCTGATTGGAGTATACAGGTGTCATTATGATTGAGAATCTCACGGTAAAGTACACAGTCGTCAGCGAACAGAGACACGGACGAAGAGACACTAGTGGGTAGGTCGTTAATATAAATTAAGAATAGCAACGGCCCTAAGACTGTCCCTTGCGGAACCCCTGACGCAACTTTGACAAAAGAGGAGTTATTGTTATTCACAGTGACAAATTGAGACCGTTGAGTTAAAAAAGACTGTATCCATGCGAGAATGTTATTGTCTATGTTAAGTTTGGAAAGTTTTAGAAGCAGAAGATTGTGAGAAACTTTGTCAAATGCTTTGGCGAAATCCAGGAAAATGCAGTCCGCCTGGGATCCTCGGTCCAGAATGTGATGTAGGTCATTCGTGAAAGATAGCAGTTGGGTCTCACATGAAAATGTTTTTCGAAAACTGTGTTGGGCGTTGTTGAAGAAGTTGTTAGATTCTAAGAAGTTGACGAGGTGAGAAAAAATTATATGTTCAAGAAGTTTGCAAGGAATGCTGGTTATTGAGATCGGACGATAATTAAGAGGGGAATGTTTATCTCCAGCCTTGTGAATGGGTACCACCTTCCCTACCTTCCAGTCTGATGGGAGAACAGCGTCTTGTATAGATTGTTCAAATAATTTTGTTAAAATAATTGAGGAGTATTGTTTAGTGTTTTGTAAAAACTTGGAATTAATGCCGTCCACTCCTGCTGAAGATGACAGTTTGAGTTTATGTATGATACGACCGACGCCAACGTAATCAAGAAAAAGAGGATCCATGTGCAAGTAATCGGCACTCTCTAGCGAAGGGAAATCGTGCATGTTATCAGTAGAGAATGAATTTGCAAAAGTACTATTTAATAAATTTAAACACTCATCGCTGGCTATACAATCACCATTTGCGGTTTTTAGTGTGATAGATGACTGCGTCTTTTTGTTTATTGTGTTCCAGAATTGAGTAAAATTGTTGATCAACATTGCGGGTAGGCTATGAGTCATGAATTCTAGTTTGGCGTTTTCAATTGCTTTTTTTGTACACTTCAGCAGCAGTACGATAACGCAACCAACGGTGCTCGCACGTGGATAATTTTGCGGCGCGAAATAGACGCTTTTTTTTGTTTGATAAGCGTTTTAAGGCTCTGGTGAACCAGGGTGACTGAGAGTTTTCGATAACTCTCCTTAAGGGAATGTACTGATTTGTTAGTTTATTAACTTCGGTTTTGAAAAAGTTCCAGTTTTCTTCTACTGAGCGACTTGAGAAGAGTGATAAATATTCATCGAGGAAAGTTGCAAGGTCAAGATTAATTTTATCAAAGTTAGCTTTGGCGTAATCTCGAATTTGCTTTACATTAGTTGATGGTTTCGGTACTGCTGCTTTTACATTAAAATGCAATATGGAATGATCACTAAGCCCTGGAAGATAGGAGATGGGTGAAACGAGTTCAGGATGAGTAGCAAGAACAAGGTCTAATACGTTCGCCGTCAATGGGGTCACTCTGGTTGGTTGGGTAACTAGTTGCGTGAAACAAAAATCTAAACAGAGGCTAACAAAATCATTGCATTCAGATGAGGCAGATGAGGGTGTGCCTGTTGGTGGGTTATTACCTGTCCACACAATATCAGGATAATTAAAATCTCCCAACAGAAAAATTGGCGAACTGGGAAAGCGAATGACGACCAGATTTATGGAGTCCTGCAAAGCTTTAATGAAAGATGATGAGCACGAGGGCGGCCTATAGCAAACTCCCATGATCCACTTCATGTGATTAGTACCAAGACATACCCAAACTATTTCTAAATCACTAGCTATGTTTAAACAAAAAGAATCAATATGACTTGCAATGGCAACTAAAACGCCCCCACCGCACCTATCTTGCCGATCGTTCCTGTAAATATTGTACCTTTTAGGTCCATAAAAAAATTCGCAATCACGCACCCTCCCAGTGAGCCAAGTTTCCGTTAAAACAACAACATCAGCAGCTGCTGAATCCACAATAGAACACAAGTCGTCTCGTTTTTTAATGAGGCTTCTAATATTTGTAAAAAGTACCGATACATCAGAGACAGGTGAAAGAGACACTCTACCCCTCGCGGCCACGACGTTTATCTCAGAAACGATTAGCAGACGGTCCTGTAGCGCGAGTCAAAAGGGTACGGGATGCAGCTAGGCGAGGAGGCAGTTGCCTGCCTCCAAAAGTTACAAGGAGACCTTACCCTGGTACTGCCGGCCAACAGAAGGTGCCTCGTCTTGCAGACGAAAATTCCTCCATTCTCGAGCATCATACGAGAGTGCAGAAAGGCAAAGCTCCGGAAGATGTGCTTGACTACCCCTTGAGATCCCTGCATTCCGAATGGGCGCAGGAAAGAGTCGGGTCAATTTCCGTCCACCCCATTATTCGATCGTTAGCCAAAGCGAGCTTACGTCTGAGTTACTACACCATTTCTACGTCTACAAACCGGCCACTCTTCATAACCGAGTTTTATTACTGGAGCCATTTACGCGAGTCCTGAAGGCCCATTATGGCTGTTCAAGAACAGAATGTTGGGTTTTAGTTTTGAATTTATTTTTATGTTTTTGCTCGAGCAATGGCCCATTAGACTAGAAGTTGGCAAACTTTTCGATCTCGAGGACCCCTTGATCTTTCTTGATTGATGGCCGAGGATCCTGATCTCGGCATTGGTGCGGTAAAGCAGTGTGGAAGCCTACGGACCTTGCAAACAATAGCGTGCGTATGCTGGAGTGTGTTTGATGAAAACATTTTGCCTCAATGGGTGGCACAGAGATGCTAAAATGGCCTTTAAACTTGAGAAACACTTTACTGAGAGGCAGGCACGGTCGAGGAAATTTGGAAGTTTGGGGACCCGGCGGGTGATCTGAGGAACCTTCGAGTCCCTAAAAACCGTGGCATAAGATGTAAGTGTGGACACCGCGCACTTTGCCACTGCAAGATGAAGTCCTCACCTCGCCTCGATTGCAAGCGGAGCCACCAGACGGCTTCTCAATATATGGCTAAAGGCGGCCTGTGGGACTTGGTTTCCCACGATTTTCTATGGGAGACACGCTCAATTTAAAGTTGTTTTCGTGGTGCACCACATCACATAGAACTTGGCACCCGCGCTACACGTGTTGCTTAGATACTGTTTTGTCAGTGACTCTACTTTCGTACCTAATCGACAGCAATAACAGTTTTATGAACAAATTAAAACGGAGAAAGCTCTGGCACGGTGTTCAAGCAAGCATTCGTCAAGGTCAGAGCAAATGCTCCGAGCGGAAAGATTGCATGCCTGACTCCCATAAAAACAAGACACTTTTTTTTTTCTTTCTTTCTTTACTAGATGCACTGTCTGGATGGTGGAGACGTTTTTGACTGAAGCTACTAGGGCGCACGCCAAGGTAACTTTATCTGGTTGATTGCATTGCAGCATTTGCCGTGCTGTGTGTCGTCACACCATCTTACACCCTGCTACGAACCCAATTTGAGAACCCTCGCGTTAGAGCGGACGAGGCACGTCTTGTAAGCCGGAACTTACCGAATGAGGGCCGTCAATGACTTTGACGATGTCCCTGATCTGGATTTGGTTCTGGTCCGAGTCTAGTGCCACGGCCTTGCGCGCATCACACTTTTTGTTCACAGACTGGTGTTTCACTTGAACCACCTGCAGAGTCCAGGTGTAAGCGGACGCCAGAGAGGGCAAATGGTGGCTTTCTGCTTACCTTTCCATTCATGCTGAGCACCTGGAAGTTTTCCTTCTCCAGGCGCACAATCACCCCCACAGTCTGGGGGCTGGCAAGAAAAAGCGAGGGCAGAGTGTCAATGCAAACTGAGATGGGGAACATTACTTGAATGAGTCATTCAATCAATCGGATACAATCAAACTAATTGATGTCTCTTAGAACAGCTCTTCAAAAGCATTTCAAGCTGTGCAAGAGGTCATTACTGTGTAACCTTGAAACATTCACTACAGGGGTCTATTAAATTGTCATTTCACATTGATCTTAAGTGCATAGCACGGTCTATCTTACATTTATTCACGTTACCAATTTCTGACGTCTGTAGCAAATCTACCTTGAAATCAACTACAGGCAGATCCTATATATAGGCCAAAGCCCCCCCCAAATTCTGAACAATAAAAAAGTTTTTTTTTTTAATACAAAAAGAGAGTTTAAAAAATTATATTTTTTTTAAGACATTTTCATTTTAGATACCCATTTCTGAGAAGGTGAACTTATATGCGGTGATATATAGTAATCCAAACAACCACAACACTAAACAAAAAGAACCAGAAAAAAGTGTGTTGACTAATCAATTCCACACAAATAAAAAGCAAATCAAATTGCAAAGTGTTTGATTACAGCCGTCATCCTATTAAAGTCGCAGTCATACTGCTGATACAAATGCATCATACAAAAGACACTTGCTCGTTGCAGACATTACCAGCGGACATGTCCCAAGCACGTTCGGAGCATGTTTGCTTCGTACGTATGTACGCTCTAAACATGTCTGCGGGGTGGATCGGTGATTGAGCCGGCTAGCGCACACCAGCTCCGAGCACATGGAGCGAAAGCTCGTGCTGCAGAACCTGGGGATCCCATTTCGATCTGGATGAGCATCGTACCGGCGTGCAGTCGTGTATCACGACTGCGTGGAGCATGTTAAAAACCCTGGGCTAGCGGTTGTTCTGCACTGGGGAAATCGCTCATCTACAGCTGGGAGACAAGTTGCCTGTTGAGTCAGACTAAGTTCTAGTGTGTATAAACATACACGCAACATTGACACGTCGGCAGACAGTTTTTGCATGACCAGTCTGACAGGACTATCACACAAGACTCGGACAGTGTATGGAGACTGCATTTTAAAGCGATAGCTTTGAGGAGCTCGTGTCGCAGAAAAGCTGGCGTCGGTCGGACGGAGAAATCCAGGATTGGTCGATAGGATCGCGACGTCACAGGCACGTCACCTTGCGCGGGAAGTTGAAACTACCCACAACACTCGCGTGAAACGTGACGTCACGCATGAAATGAAAGCGATGAAAACATGACGTTATGCGAACTAATGACGTAATACGAATGAAAACGCCGCATGTCTAAAATTATTTAACTTTATAAAGTAATTAATTTGCCATAAAGAAAGAAAATAAAGACACTTAAAAACTGCTTACATGTAGGAATGCAAAAGAATTTCTACACACAGTGCATTCCTACAAGCAGCGTACCACATCTTCCTTTTTCACACAGCGCTCCGGCGGCGACATGATGCACTGTGCAGGCACGGTGCACCGCCAGCTTCACGGCTGCCGTGACGAAGCATCTGCATTGCTGTGCTTTTGGTCAATAAAAATTCAGGTGCCGTTTTCGGTGCTACAAACAACGCCAGCTTCCCTCCATAAGACAGTTAACGCTTTCGCATTAAAAAAAAAAAATGTGAAAAATTATAGGCGGAGGCGGGATTCAAACCCCCGGCCCTTCAGCTGCAAGCCAGACACGCTACCAACCAGGCCACGCGGACACGCTTGCACGTCTTGGGAACGAGCGGGGGTTCATATGTTTAGCTATCGCATTCCACTCTTAAAGGCCAAGTTTAAACATACTCCTGTAATTTTGTATGATGTATTTATTAGCGGTGTGACCGTAGCTTTTGCATTTGATCAATTCTGACGCACTTCTCGATCTGCGGGATTTGGAGTCAAAACCCCACCAAAACAATCACGTTTTTCTTTCTTTCTTTTTAGAAAAGGAAGACAAATATTGAATAACTACCGAATTGTTCTAGCCAACAGAGGAGCTGGGAATGGCCATGTCCGTCCATAAAATCAACAGTGCATTGGCTACTACACACAAAGACGAGACAAAGACCAACCCACCCCCCCCCAAAAAAAAAAAAAAGTTCCTGGCTACACCACTGCGGCCGTCGAGAAAGGCAAAAGCTGCGGGAAGGCAAAGGGTCACCCACTCAAGTTGCACCAGGTCCCCCCACTGGAACTGCCCCAGAGAGTCCACCCCCGTGGCCATGTCCGCACACAGCTGGAGGTCACGTGGCAGCACCTTGAGCTGCACAAAGGGAAGGCGGGGCACGCAAGCTGCCGTCACTTCCCGTGTGGAGGGAACTAACCCCCAAACAATATGCCAGTCTGGTAGCACAGATGACAACCGTTAAGGTTCTCGTCAATCCTTGAGGAAAATATAGGGGAGTTCCGAGCAAGTAACGACACGGCAAGACTTTTTTATGCGTCCTAAAACTGGGGAACAAACGAAATGAAGAACTGGTTGGAGGCAGTCAGAACATTTGGTGGCTGGAAGTGTATAAAGAATGCACAAACAAAAGGTAAAAGGAACCACATGTGCGCCTATTTGAAGAAATGTGCATGAGTCGCCCCTTGTCCTGTTCATTCATTATTTCCTTGTACCTCTACACCAGTCGACAACAAGCGGCTCACGGTCCAGCGGCCTCAAATACTATAAAAAGGACACGTATCACAACCACAGGCCGAAATGCCGCTAACCAGCTTTCCCCTTCTGACTTATTAGGAATAATAATATTAATTATAATAATGTTTACTCCTATTTTTAGGAAATAATGAAGCGGCAGGGAAAAGGCTTCAAGATGCTTGACGAGCCCCGTCGGCAGTGGTACAAATCACTTTGCGCAGCTCAAGCAACACACAATACACAAAAAAAGAAAATGGTCTGAAATCGCTGTTTCTGCTACGCCGATTCTCCAAAAAATATGTTAGCATTTTGCGCGGCAGTTATATACAACAAAGCACGGTGAATGCAGCCTTTCAGCACTTTTCCGCAGAATAAACATTTCCGAGATCCCTATTCTCCCTGGTGCAAGCAGATCAGGTCACTTAGCGCGTCCATGAAGGACGTGCACGCGATGTGTGGAGAACAACGGAGCCATTTCATTGTTGTGCATGCAGGTTGTGCATACAAGGGCGACGACACTGTGCGCTTGCAACCCGGTGACACGGGGGACGTCACTGGCGATCTTCGGTTGTTAGGTGTTACGTCACAGCGACGCTTCCTATAACCAGCCAATCCAGTTATGCCCTATCGCATCGCCTCTTCAAATATGCACCCCGCCGCCATCTGTCAGCACTTGCAGAAGGTGTTCCCCAGCCGATTTCTACAACCAGTGGAGCTGTGGTGCTATCCTGTGGCGACGTTGCAAACTCTGAATATGTGCGCACTTAACCAATCTAAGGTCAGCGCATGTACACATCGCGACACTGTTAGCGCGAACACGACATCGGCGCATTTTCGCATTTTACTTCTAAATAGTATTAGCGAGCACGACATTTTTTCCGTTTTTTTCTAAAGGGTTAGAACGAATAATTCATCGCCGCCTCAATCATTTCTTCTTAAAGCATTCTGTAATATCCGATTGCCAATATGGGTTTACTAAAAATAGATCAACGGAACACGCCTTGCTTGCCCAAAAAGAATATATTTTGAACAATTTTGAATCACAACGTCTTACTCTTGGCATTTTTATTGACTTTAGTAAGGCATTCGATACTGTAAATCATAAAATACTTATCGCTAAGCTCGAGCACTACGGCGTACGAGGACACGCCCTCAACCTTATAAAATCATATTTAAGCTCACGATTACAATATGTTGTAATAAACCACTCTCGCTCCGATTCCCTTCAAATTTTTAATGGTGTCCCTCAGGGTAGCATCCTTGGACCACTCTTGTTTAATATATATATAAATGACATTTCCAATATTAGTACCCTTGTAAAGTACGTTATTTACGCTGATGATACGAGCCTTTTCTTTTCCTCCTCTGACGTTGAACAACTAACTGGCACTGCTAACCGAGTATTGGCATTATTATCACGGTGGTCATTAGTCAACTCATTGAAAATCAACAAAGAAAAAACTAAAGCTGTAATATTTCGTCCTAAAGGAAAGCTTGTAATGCACCCACCGCCTTTAGTTTTGAGTGACACCATTATCGAGTATGTAGAAACGTTTAGATCCCTCGGTGTAAGTTTTACCGCAACGATGACATGGGACGCCCACATAAACGAGGTTTGTCTTGCCCTTTCTAAGGTTGTAGGAATAACCTCGCGTAATAAGTACGTTCTACCTGAAAAAACTAAACTTACTTTGTATTACGCTTTCTTTTATTCATATTTAAGCTATTGTTTTCTTGTCTGGGGTAATACCACAACATCCAATATTCAGAAGCTTCTGATCTTGCAAAAGAAAATGCTACGTGCTATTACAAAAGCTCCATATAATTCCCCAACCGGGCAGGCTTACTCGCAGTTTAAAATTGTGCCTGTATATAATTTATTTGAATATAGATTCGCGTGTTTTTACAAAAATAGTATAGCTAAAAACGATAATTTTCTTTCACGTATTGTTTCTACTGTGCCCCACAATACGCCTTATGCAACCAGAAAAAAAGACAGCTTTGTTTTACCTAGATGTAGAACGAACTATGGCTTTACAATGTTGCGATATATCTTGCCTAAGTTTTTGAATACTCCTCTATGTGATCACTTGAATGGTATGTCTTCTTCTGTCCTTAGGAACGCTTTTCTATAATTTGTCTGTACTTCTCATTTTGTCTGTATTGTTTATTTTGTATATATATATTATTTTTTACCGCGTTTACACTGCTGACTTGTAAGGGTGGCGAGGCCCGTCAAGCAGTGGATGACACTGCTTTTTTCTTGCCACCCTCAGTTTGTATTTCAAGCTGAAATAAACGCTGATTGATTGATTGATTTATCGCCTACAGTATAAAACTAAGCTAGCTCTTTCCGTAGAAATAATAACTTGGATGACATCCCTTGGTTTCAAAGAGAAAAACTGAAAAAATCGGCGATCGCTTGTTCGCGCTAACAGTGTCGCGCTCTGTACAAAGGCACCAATGGCTTACAGTCGCTGACCGATTTTTCAGACTTTGCAGGGATCGAGAAAATGTCCAAATAATAGAGCAGCATAAAAAATCAGCGGATTAAAAAACTTGCCTTTATTACGTCTGCGTAGGCTAAAAAAAAGCCGCAAATAGTGCCGTGGTTCAGGTTACGCCTGCTTGTCTTTTTTCAAATTACGCCTCTGTTTGCGTTCAGCAACTTTCTATTAGCTTGAGAATCGCTCCCCTCTTTTCTAGCGTTAAGGTCGAGTACTTCCTGCACTTCTTAACGACACATCGCAGTGGCGGAAAAACAGATGGGGCAATGACGTCCAAGCTAGCGTAGTCCAAAAACGGGATTCACCGAGATGAAATCGATATGAGGGGCGCAAATCCACGACTGCAATGGCAAATGAACAAAGCAAAATGGTAACGACAATGATGATGATAATGATTCGCAGCAAGAGAAAGAAAAGCCGTACAGCTTCTCCTAGCGGTAGGACTTCGCAGTACTCAAGTAGCGCTGCCAAACCAATCCAATTCAATCCATCTGCACCAAAAATGAAATTCAAAATGAACACTTCTCGGTAGTGTTTCCCGCTGGTAACTCGCAATGATTTTGTCTGAAAAATCAAACTTCCGGACTTCAATCTATTTGTGAATATGCACTTTTTCTATCAGGTAGGTCACAGTCCCTCCTTTAAATCTGAAATATCAAACAAGTCAGAATTATCAGTGTCCTAGAAATCGGTCGGCGACTGTATATCGTTAGAGATTTGTTCTAGATCACAGAATGAAAGAGAGAGACCCACCTCGTGCATGGTGAGGTCCGAGAAGAGCACCACCATGTTGTCCTCGACCCGCACGATGAGCCCGGTGTCTCCCTCAAAACGCCCGGCGATCACCTTGACGTGGTCCCCCATCTTGAAGGACTTCTTGAGCTCGTGGGCCTGGAAGTCCAGCGGCTCCGTCAAGTCCTCGTGGCGCGGCAGCATGGTGATCTTGTTGCCGTCGATGGAGATGATTTTGCCTTGCAGGTGCACCAGCTCTCCTTCGGCCACCTCCACGGTGTCGCCCGGAGCAAACGAGTGGCCCTGCTCCTCTTTCCGACTCTCCCCCAGCTCCAGCTCCAACCCTTCCGGCTGCTCCTCGAACTTCTCAAGCTCAGAGAGCGTGGGCTTCACGCCCTGGGCTATGATGGCGGACATGGCGAATGCCTTGTAGAGGAAGCCCTTGCGGCTGTAGCGGTTGCCCTCAAAGATGAGGAAGTCGCCGTCCGTGGTGACTTCTCCGCCGACGGCGCGGATGGCGTCCACGTCGAAGAGCTTGGCGGCGGGGCGCTTGGACTTCTTGCGCTTCTCGGACTCGCCGGCCGCGGGCCGCAGCGCACCGCGGAGCCGGGTGTAGTCGACGCGGGGAAGCAGCTTGAGGTTGACTTGGCTCTGCGCAGTGTCTACGTAGTCGACTTGGGCCAGGTCGTCGCGGTAGATGCCCCGCTTGAGGCGGACCCACTGCTTGGGACGTAACTGGGCCTGCTCTTTGGTGACGCGTAAGACGTCCGTCATTTCCTTGATAGGAACCATCTGAAAAACGCCGCGGGATCAATCAATCAAGCAATCAATCTCTATTCATCTTCAGCAAACATCAAAAGCACTGCATACTGCATCTGAATCCTTAGCCATTGTGGCTAGTTTCGAATCCATTCCTCGATACAAAAATAAAAGATATGGGTTTCACCTTGCATGTATGCTAGTGCCGCACAAATCATATAAAATAATAAAAGTGAATATATTCTCCTATTTAAACAAATATTCAATACAATCAAACTTTTTAGACCTGTGTAGGAAGCGCTACAGCTTATTTCAACCTCCACACCCACGGAGCACTCCGCAACAACGCGACATTCATGCACCGCAATTCCAGCAACTGGGGTCAAGAAAATAACTACCTCGTAAAACATGTGCTGCGAAGAAACCGGCATGTTAAATTTTTTTCTGCTTAGCTCTTAATTTTTATTAGCTATGTTCCTTACCGTACCTCGAAAGTGAATGGACAATAACATTTCCATACTCGAGAATCTAACCTTGTAAATGGGTAATGGACAGGGGTAACAGGTTATTACACGTGTCTGGTAACCTTTCGAGCTTATTTAGAGAAGGCCAAAATCTCACCACCACACTGCAGAACTACACCAATATCTGACTTGGGAGCTTTCCTTATAGGTAAAAACAGGTACAATCTCCAGCAGAACTCGACATTCAATCCCTCAACATATTAGGCCATCTCGTAAATACTTCTCCGAACACTGCTGCTGGTTGCAGGACTAGCAACAAAGTGGTTTCTCGTGATAAGTGAATAAAAAATCCCTAGCTAGATGAGCGTACCGTTTGCTGGTAAAGACCGATGCGGAGGTTGCCAACGCCCTGGATGACTTGCTTGACGTGCGTGTGCTTGTAGGCCTCGATGTAGATGTAGCCCTTCAGCCCCTCTGGGGCGACCACGCTCCGGATTTGGAGCGGCTGCGGGAAGAGGGACAAGAGTTGGGGCGTTGGGGAGACGCTTGGGCACGGCGACGGCCACGCCAAAAGGTCCCAGAACACAAGCTCAGAGAGCACGCAAAGATGTCATCACTCCGAGGAAGAAAGGAAATCAGTATTCTTATTCATGTTTACTATTCAATAGTATAAACTCATCTGAATCCAACCAGGAGTGAAGAATGCATAAACATAACAAGGCACCGAGAAAACATCAAGAACTGCAATGCAACAGTTATACCATTACATGTCATATACAATCTCTATTTTGGGGGGGGTCGCGGGGGCCTAAGTGGGGGGGGTCGCAGGGGCCTAAGTCAAGCCACTGATAGCTTTGATACTGCTCTAAGGGGAGGGGGGGGGGGGGAGGTGATCGCCGGAAGGCCTTAGAATATTTTAGGGGTTGCGGGTTTGAAAAGCTTGCATAATTCTGCTCAAGACAATATCAGACTAAGCTTTGTAAGCTGCAAGCTTCACTTGCATTGGGGCTCTTGAAAGCTTACGTCGGAAAAGCCTAACAACGGAAACCGGCAGACAAAACCAGCATCTGGCAAAGGTACCAAAGGACGGATCACGAACCTCTTCCGAATACTGGTAGGCAATGAACTTGCGCATCATCTGGAGCACCGTGGACTTCTCCTCCCCAATCTTGCACTTGACCATCCACAAGTTGGGGTCCCTGGAGGAGTGTCAAAAGGGTAGTTGCCGCCTTCATGCTCCAGACTTGCCCCCAAGAAACTACCTAGAAACCCAAGAGAGGCTATCTCACTTGACTCCTGGCAGGAGAGTCTGCTGGGCGATCTCGTCCGAGAGCTCCACGTCGGCCTCACGGTAGCCACCTTCGGTCGCAGTCGTGTCCGCGTACTTGCGCCGGTAGTAGTCCTCGATCTCGTCTTCTTTCTGGGACCTGCTCCGCGAAACAAGACGGCGTAAGAGGGACAACAAATGTATGTATGTATGGATATGTGTGTGTGTTTGGCCAAACAGCTAAAGTTTGCTTTTATCGTATTGTTGTTTCTATACACCTCTTCGAAGCTGCACGCTGCATGCCAGGGCGCACCTTAGGGAACTTCTTTGTTTGCTTTGTTTATTGTTCTTTATTTGTTGCATACTTTTGAATGTGTGCTTTCTGCATACAGTGTGTTTTCTATTTGAAATTTATTTATTTTATGAAAATGCATCTATGGAGATGCCGAAGGTATATTTATTTTCTAAGAACAAAACCCTCCTTCTGTACTTTAATCACCCCTAAGCGTACAGTGAGATGGCAGCTACGCACTCACTGAACCCAACGACCACCTCTCCTTCATCACCCGAGCGTGGGCATGGGCAGGAGAGAACGTGATCAAGCAGGGAAAGATAACGCACAATTGGTCCAGTTGGCCCGTAGCTTCCGCTAAACTGTCAGCTTAGGTATGAATGGCACATAACAGCCCATACATAGGCTGCCAATACTCAGAAATAAATGAACAAATAAACGAGACGAAGACTAACGTGAGCATCATCTGGAGCCTGCGGTGGGAGTGCAGCTCCTTGGAGGAGGCCTCCTCGGTCTGGCGATGGGGGTCTATCATGTCCTCTGCCCCCTCCTCCCAGTCCTCGTCATCTTCCACCTCGTCGTCCACCTCCGCCTCGTCCAGGATGAATCCGCCGAAGCGGGCCTTCTTGCGCCGCTTGCGCCGTGCCTCCTCATCCTCGTCTTCTTCCTCTTCTTCCTCGTCATACTCATCCTCGTCCAGGTTCTCTCCCTCTGGCTCCTCCTCCGGTTCTGGGTCCTCCTGAGAAACCGGTGACATTCATCAGTTTCCTACACTACTGAAAGTGTGTGATAAGACGGGAGCGCCACAGTGCGGCTCCTAGAAAAAGCATTTCGAACTGAATGCAACCGGACTGACACAGACATCTTGCGTAGCAGCCAACCTTTGCTTCTAATGAATGTCAGCTTACCTGAGCACACACTATACAAAACGTTTGGGGGCATAGTCGGCACTAACTTCATTTATGCAAAACCTGGAAATCAAGAGCAAAGATCCCCTTCAAGTGCTGGACAAATGTGCCACAATCATCTCAATCCCAGTTTGCCTACTTGATCCCCCAACGAGCGAAGAGTAATCTGTTGATAAGGGGAATAAAAAGTACTCATCATGTAGATCTCTTTATTTACTGGCACCGGCGAATTTCGTCCCATTTCGGAACCTTTCAAGCACATAGACGATTTGTAGGTGCCTCTTCCAGAGCAGATGAGCGAAAAACACGGCGGAATGTTGCCGCCGTTGCTGCTCACAACTGCGGGACACGCGAGTGAACAGAAGCTCCGAGTAACTTCCGCGGGTCGAATGACGGAAAACACACAGAGCAACGCTGGACACGGGTATGTTTCGAATGTCAAGGTGCCAAACCTTTACTCCGGAGTTAGACCAAGAAGCACAGCCTTGGGAAGGCGCAGAAAACGCTGCGGGCGCATTAGAATAGGACGGAGCGGACAGGGTTCCAGTCTGCGGCATAATGTGAGTGCTGTCACTGGTGGCGCTTCCGACCAGCTGCCAAGGTGGAGCGGCGCGCCTCCTAGAGGTGTTGCATGTTCCCATCGCTGACAAAACGAGAACTGCAGGGTGCCTCTTCCGAATGCATCCAGAACGAATGCATCCCCCTTTGACTCCGGTTTAAAGTAGGAGGAAAACAAGACTGGAGGCACGCGACGCTTACCTTTCTTTTATAGAAGCCTACAGTGTCACCAAGTGTTTTAACGGAGACTCTAATAACATGGCCAGCTGTCTTTCCAGAAGATTGGGTGCCTCGGCAGCGATGGAATCACTGGCCTCTCACTTGGCAATAGCCTACCCCCTATGCAACCGCACAGCTTTGGTTAGTGCAGTTACAGACAATAAATAAGCAATCGGGTTGCCGCAAAAGCCGTCGCCTTAATGGATGGAGGAGCTCTGTGCTTTCCGACTTGACTTTCTCCGTACGATTAGGATGCATAAAAGCGTCTTAGGGCACAAACAGGTCAGTCAAAGCTAAGACACAAAACAGGGGCACTTACAAGTGCTTGTTTGCGAGAGTTTAATGGTATCATTTGTACACACTGTACAAAGTTAACAAAAAGATTTTCCTTTAAGTCGCAACACAGTTACTGGCAGCTGTTCTCCCACTAAGTGAAGGTCATGTGCTTGCAGCCTATATCATCCCTCTGTTGGAATATGTGCGAAATCCTGTCCCATGGAATGCCACAGTACGTATTCCGAGCAAATCACGCATAAGGACTTGACTACTAAAGATACCGAGTTACAACAACCTTTCTGCTTGCGGTAAGGAGGTTTTGCATATGTTTGAACTTGACGAGCATAAACATAAATGATGTTAGCAAACATGAAGGGCTTTGCAATGCCCTAAAGGCCAGTTCACAGACTTTCGAGTGCTTACGACCGAGTGCCTTGATACATCTTGGGATTTATCACAACGCCCCCACAACTTTTGACCGGTCGAACACTTGGCATTTCTGTATGTTTACCCCCCTTTCTTTCGTACATCATTCTTTTTTGAATGGCTAAAAAAAACTTTTGAAAATGTTATACTCGAGCATTTCTCATATACATACATTTGATCTTGAAGATACCACAAAAACCTTCACTCTAGTGAAATGCAGTTCCGCAGCAACCACATGGACGGTGCCAGCATGCCAGTCTGTTCTCACGACGTAAGAGATTGCAAGAACTTGGTCGTAAGCAAACGCAAGCTTTGAAGACAAACGCGACCTTCCTAAACTCTAAGCACGCAATCCTTCAAAGAACAGGAGGGGAAAACTACCTCGGCGCCTTCGGGAACCTCTTCTGCCTCGGCCACGCCGATGCCACTGCCGGCCTCGCTGCCAGCTTCACTGCGAGCTTCTTCCTCGTCTTCTTCCTCCTCTTCAGCTCGCTCGCTCCCCTGGAAGCTGCGCTCGCTCTCGTTGTCCTCCGAGTAGTTGCTGCCCTCGCTGTCCGACATGGCTGAGGTCGGCTAACGCGGCACTCTGAAAAGAGCAATCCATGAGCCGAGTCAGTCCGATACGAAATTGTGCCAGAAATCAAACTGTTGAACAGGCAGGGACCTGGCCTGAAAACTGGCAAAAGATAGACTGCCAACGTTATCTTAGGACAAAAGACTCTCACTGTACGGGAGAGATAACAAACATTTGTGTTAGTTTTGTTTGCAACGCCATCCTTTGTTCCACATACCACGAACAAGGATCCTGTTTAATAATTAAATCCCAACTGGCCTTGTGTTCAGTTTGATGCTCCCAATTAAGTCCTAAACAACCAATCACAAAATGACATACAGGTAATGGCTACATTCTAATCTATGTTTTTTTATAAAAGAAAACATTACGAATAAATTGCTTGCCCTAATACACTTCTCCCCAAATTCTCATTTCCATCTTCCACAGAAAAGTTTCTTCGTCCATCCCCCAAACGCAACATAGGTCACTACAATCACTTTCAAGCCACTACACAAGCAGTATTGGATGTCAAACAGCCATACCAATGGGAACAACATATATGGATATGAGATTTGCATTCCACAAAGCATTCTTTGCTGTCTCTCACAGGGGTCATGCAAAATCCACACAGATGACCTCAAAGTCGCCTCTGACACTTAACTGTTGATATGCAATGCATTTTTTCTTGTCACCGTCTGTCAGCTTTGTACAATCTAGCAGCACTCTCTCAATGCACTGAAGTGTCATGCACTGTGGCGTGCAGTAATTGGTAGTGTACTTCGATCCTCCACAACTATGGGAAGTGATTTTTTGTTATTTTTTGACAACACGACAGGATTCCTTTCTTCGTAAGGTTTATCGGGCAACCTTTCAGTCTCGCCTCTACGCGAATTTGTACGTCGCGATCCAAAATAAAGAAGGTTTCTCTTACAAATGAGTCTGACGGAAGCTTAACTCTTGAAGACATTTCGTCCCATGCATTGCTGTCTTTGTTTCAGAACATTAAAATGTTCTTCATGTTGAGTCTAAAAGTTAGTAATTCGTTAGAGTATGCTCCTCTATATAAATGTGACGTTAAAAAAACCGAAAGTCTTGTCAGGTACTACTTTAAAGAAGGTATCGTGCCACAGTAGTATCTGTGAATCAGCTAGCTTTTTGCCATATTATCTGCTACGTGTAGCTACTCCCTTTCACTCAACATGTACACGAATTTTCTCCCGAAAACATCCGGAGCAGCTCAAGGGGCTTTAGAAACACGAAGAGCAGTAACGAACGAACGTTTTGGGCGCCATTCGAGAACGTCGACAGTACTTGACGTCGTAGCGATAGTGTAGTTCTTTTAGATTAGACCCACAATTGTAAGGGACGCCTTCTCGGTGAGATCGAGCTTATTATAGCTGATCGGTTCTGATGTTTAAAACGTAGAAACGAGTTAACTGTCTTATTGAGATAGGAGCCAAGTGCATGGTTCTAAGACATCAAGAGACACGTTGACCTGAATTTCGTGTTCCGTGATAATATTTGGGTTAGTTGTTTGAGGGGGCTCTGTAAAAAATATAAATACCTTCCAAGCCACGAAGAAATTTCACAGAAATCGAACGTAAATCCTTCACCGATAAATCAATCCGGCAGGGCACGCACAGTGTTGCTTGCAAGCAGCATTGAATATGCCCTAAGCCGCCAGCTTTGGTCAAATACAAAATAACTGACCAACATAGAACCATAATTTTCATCATTATTTGTAGCAGTTAATCTTTCAAATATAATTATTAACCGCGTCTTTCATTTAGATTCCTTAATTTTTTACATGATGACACCATAGCAGTTTTATAAATGGAAATATGGCCGCGAATAAATTCTTTCAATTAGGTGGTGGCTCGCGCAACCTAGGCAGCGTTTTTAGCAACTTGTGGCTATAAATGGATGGATTAATGTTAATGGCTATACTGTTTGTAACTGACGGTAGCTTGCGCCACCTAGCCTAAGTCTAAAAAGAGAAACATGATTTCTCTCTCACTCCTGGCAAGTTTTCCCCCCCTAACTATCACCGAATTAGAGCACAGCTCTAGAGCAGGAGGGGGGAAGGGTACACGGTTCTACCTGGCGGAAAACTCGGTTTGAGGATTCTGAGAATGAAACAGTGCGCGCATTCCGAAGAAGGATAGGTTGTTGAACGAGTTTGCGAGCAAAAGGTAAGTCGCAATAGACACACAAGGGGCATTGGAAGCCCAATATAGGTCTTGGTCACTCAGTAAAGCTGACCAAACGATGGTCAATTTAATTCAAGCGTCATTCAATTTAATTCAAGCGCCATTCAATTTGACCCTACCGCTACCCAATTTAATTCCAAAGTCGGTTAATTTAATCCACAATATATACATGCACGTTTTTGTCTTCAGTAGCCTTGTTTCACTTACACTTTTGATAAGTGTAGCACAGTACCACTTATCCATGGCTTTCGTTTTTGTTTTTTTCATTTTTTTTTTTTTTCTTTTTGAAGTTTAGTTGAGTCAAGATTAGGAATGCACTTTTCTGTAAGCCGGATTATGGACACCTATCTCTTCAGCGACATATTCAAATGAAAGGAAGGTATTACAAAGCTCCGAGCTGATACCCTCATAATTTCCTCTTTTGTACAAAAATATTCTTCGATTTCTACTGAACTTTGTGATTGCTCTTTTTTAAACCAAACGTCGCGATTACAGCATCACGATCGCATATATTGGGTATGACATCGATACGTTTAGCGATGTCAGGATGCTCGCACAGAAACACGTTAAGGATGTTCGCACATGAAGGCACCCTAGTTCGATCCACGCGGACATGTTGGGTGAACCCCAAAGTGTCAACCATGGACTTCATATTTATATTCATTCAGTCGAGTGATTGTTCTAGAGGCAAAACCTTCCTCACTCCATGTTATGTCTGGCAGATTAGAATCACGAAGAAAAGCTCACCGGAGAAAAGCTCACCGGAGAAAAGCTCACCGCAAAACCGGCAGATGCGGAGAAAAGCTCACCGGCCATTGAGCGTATGCGGAGAAAAGCTCACCAATTTTTTTTCTTCTTTTTATATGTAGGCTGTTGGATATGCGTAATATATATCATTTTATTATCATTAAAATTCGTCAACTTTGTAAAAAAAGAAAATGTACGTTTTGTATTTTTTTTTAAGCTTATTTGGTATACCGTTCCCAAATTAATAATTACGGGCGAGTGTTTTCTGTGGCTTACTCTGTAGGCAACGAAAGCCCAACTCAACACTTTATGAACTTGAAGAACAGGAAAAAGTTCGAAAACTGAATAATGTCTGCCTAAAACCTAAAAATCAAAACTGTAAATGCCGAAAATCCGAAAGTGCATGCGCAACAACGCGGTGCCTGAAATTCTCTTTGAAGCATTTGTTAACCTTTGAGAACAGGATGAAACCAACCGGATATCGAAGCGCATTTTTTTTTTTTTTTTTTTTTTTTTTTTTTTTTCACGGAGAAGCACGTTTTTAGCCGTTCGTGCTGGTGTTTCCACACGTTGCCTTTGTGTGATAGTACCCTTCCACGGCGAGTCACCCATGACCTTCAGAGCTGCACACTACTCGTGACCTATATAGGAACTAGTCTTCTGTAAGGTAATGAATCGGGCGACTTGGTAAACCCTATACATGATGAAAACCGCTCAAACGACGACGACGGAGTGAAGACAACAAACACGAAAGGACGAAGCTGTTGTCGCAAGCAAAGTTTTGTTAGTGAAATTAACAGAAGAAAAACAGCGAAGCCGACACTGATTACATCAACAAACACCTACTTATCTATTAGGCACTACGCAGGATTTGGACTGAAACCGTTCACACACCGCTATTCATACTAGCTTGCAAAGAACAAACCTCTTTATTGATAGAACTACTGACAGCACACTGCCAGTTGTCAATAAATTAGTAAATATGCCCAATGAACTTCAAGAATATTACAAAAAAGTGAATATATTTTTAATGAAGCGACAAGTACAAATTATGTTAAATTGCAACGTTTGACGCTGAATCCGCTAAGTTAAAAATATCGGTTAGCGTTTCTCCGCATCCGCTCAAAAGGCCGGTGAGCTTTTCTCCGCATCCGCCGTTTTTGCGGTGAGCTTTTCTCCGGTGAGCTTTTCTCCGCCGCACGGCAGATTAATATCACCGCCGAGCACCACAAACTCATTGGAAATACTAGAAATTAGATCGTTGAGAATGTTTATACTAGAAGAATAAGAATTTGGCCGTCTATATAGAATACCCCTAGATAAAAATTTGTGTTATCGGGCAGACTTACCCTTCACCACAACGACTCGACAGAATTTCCAAGCGATACCAAGTTGATGACTTTGCAAATGTGTCCCAACAAGTAAAAAGGACTTCAACCGTATGACGACCTGTCCTTTCTGTAGACGTTAAAGCATTTAGGAAACACCTCATGATCTAAAACAGAGTCATCAAGCCATTGATTCGGTCCCGAGAATAATATCGACTTGAACAGATCTAATCAAACCGTACAACTCTTTTAGAGGACAATAGGTTGTTGCACATGACGTCAATCCGCAATTTTGTTGTTAGTTTCTTTTTTCAAACAAATTTACTACATTGAAGGATTACATCGTAACCGGTTGAGATGATGTCAGCGGTGCTCTACGCATTTGAGGAGGCATGTAAATCCTTGGAATGCTCGAGTTTGGCACACGTCAGACAGCTCACAACAACAGAATGGTGGACGAGATTACGTCAGTGAAAACACTCTATACTGCCGCGCGCGCAGCTGGACAAGTAGGCAGCACGCGCGTGGCCTAACGGTTATCGCGCCTGCCTCCCACGCAGAAGGCCAGGGTTCGATTCCTGGCGCGACTACACATTTTTGTTGACAGTGTAATTTGATGTTCTAGTGAATTCGAGAACCGTCTTGCTGATTCGAGGTTAGAATGTTCTACACACCGAACCTTCTACGCCGAACGATCCAGACACCCACGAGGGTACATAAGGGATTCCGCCAGGCGAGCGAATTCAGTTTCGCCCCAGCGTTCGACTGCATGTGCTGCTCCGCCGACTTCGACGCCCGCGACGCTCTGTTATTATCGTTGTACCCCTTTTATTTTTTTGGCACAAGTTCGCCACATTAAACGTTTATTTCTTCCTGTTTATTTCCTATTTTTTTGGTCACCACCCGTGACATTTTGGTGGAGGTGCTGGGTAGCGCATGCCCGTGCAGCGTTCCCCTCCCAGGGCCCGCAGTGCAAGCCCCATTCCGAGCCCGGTAAGAAGACCACCCGACGCGGAACCTGAAACTCGGACCAGTCGCCGCACCCAAGGTCTACACCCGGAATACGGACTTCTGCCACCCAGGACCAAGCAGCCAACGAAGCCGACGATGGACGGCCAGCAGTCACAGACCCCGGGGCTCCTGCCTTCATCTACCTACCAGTCGCACCCCGGACTCCGACGCCATTCCACGGGGACGCCCACGAAGACGTCGAGGACTGGCTTCAACAATACGAGCGGGTGGCCCAGCACAACCGATGGACGGAGGACCAGCGCCTGCCGATGGAACGGCCAGGCACTGGTTCGAGAATCGGGAGACATCATTGATCTCGTGGACCGCCTGCAAGAATGAGTTGAGGCGAACTTTCACTAACCGGTATCGACGGGAGGGGGCCGAGGACCTTCTTCGAATGAGAACCCAGGGCGCAAACGAGACCATCACCAGTTTCGTCGAGGATGTTCTGCGCCTGGTCACTCGCGCTGACCCTGAAGCCACCGACGAAAAGAAGTTGCGGATCCTGATGCGAGGCGTACGAGATGACATCTTCGGAGGCCTCGTCCGCAACCCGCCGACCACCGTCGAGACGTTTGTAACAGAGGCGACCAACATTGAACGGGCCCTGCAAGCACGAGCCGCTCACTTTCATCGAGCCCCTGCCGTCGCTGCACCCACGCCGTCAAGCTGCGCCCTCAGCCCCAATATTCCAGGGATCCGAGAAATAGTCCGGGACATCGTCCGTGAAGAACTGAAGAAGCTGATACCTGCCACCGAACGTCCAGCTTCACTCTCGATCGCCGAAATTGTTCGAGAAGAGGTCCAGCAAGCGCTCCAGCCAGACGTTCTCGCCGACGCCGCACCGGAACCACCAGCTGTGACCTATGCTGCCGTTGTTCGTCGTCCGCAGCCTCCTATTGCTCGGCAGTACCCATCTGCACCCCAACGAGAAGTCTCTTCGCCGCAGTACGCGCCGCGCCAAGAGCAGCGTGGACTTCGAAAGACCGACGTGTGGCGCACGGATGACGGACGCCCGGTGTGCTTCCACTGCGGGGAGGCTGACCACGTTTACCGGAGGTGCCCCTACCGCCAGCTCGGCCTGCGAGGATTCGCTCCAAACGACCGTCGACCTCGTTTTGGAGAACGACCAAGGGACATCGAGGAATACCTCCGTCGCCCTCCGTCACCAGCGCCCACCGCACCACGAGGTTCCCGTTCTCCATCCCCCCGACGTTCCGTGTCGCCTTTCCGTCGGTCGCGCCGTGACAGCCTGTCCCCCCTCTCTCGTCGGGAAAACTAAGTGCGGCAACGCCTGGAGGTGCCGTTGCCGAAGACGACCCGAGTAAAGAGCCTCCAAGAACGCCGGAGCGCT